TCCTGACATTCTACAAGACTCAGTAAAACAAATCAGAACTGAGAGTTAACTGTAACTCAATTTATAAAGATATAAAAAAGCAAAGAGCTCCTAAGAGGAAAATGCTCACCACATTCTTTTGGAGGAAGGAAAAAACATAAAAGCAGGTGGGGTAATGAGAGTTTCCAGGTCCTGGCCTGGGAAACCTGCTCCAGTCTGGGGAAAAGAGAGGGTCACCATTCTCACCAAGAGCCAGGATATCCCCTTGGGAGCCTTTGCCACTCACCGGTTAGCCCTCTTTTCATTTTTCCTGCGCAGGTCATTCACATTGACAATCAAACGGTACTGATTGTCACTGATTAGCTCCCGAACTTTACTCTGATAAATTCCCTGGTCTTCCTGCAAAACACACACCACATAGTTTAACAGACACAAATTCAACCAATAACATGTTTTTAAACAGAGGCTGCACTTACAGCAAGATAAATATGTCAATCCCTGCAGCAGAGTTGAAACCTGATTTCTCCCATATTTCCACTCACTAGCTTCAGATCTCATACACACCCTCAGGTGACTGGGTAGGAATTATACGACTTTCTAAGGTCCATGCTATTCCTATTAAGATCAACCCTTATTTCCCAACCTTTAATAGGGAATTAAATGGAGCTCATGAGAAGTTTAAAACAAAAATCAGTAAAAGGCTTGTTAAGAAGTAAACTAAGCAGACTTTTAATATTCAAATTAAAATAATTTTTCTTTTAAGAATCACCATAAAAGAGTTAAGGAGTAGGCAGCCTGAGCTATTTATTTAAGACAGTATTAGCAACCATTCAAGCCACTTAACATTCGATGGCTTTCAATTTTGGGGTAAATGCACAATCCTCTGCCTGCATACCACACATTTTTTCTCTGCATCCCCGCTGGTATTAAAAAAGAATGCGGTGACATTAGGAAGTCTTTTTCCTCCTAACAGGAAGTCACTAAACTACGGCCATGCCACCTCTCGGAGGGGCACCAGAGTCCTACAGCAGTTATTCCCCTTTCCCTAAATGAAGACAGCAAGGAGCTTTTCCGAAAAGGTCAAAGTAGTCTTTGCTATTTTGTTTGCATTTGAAGAAACCTGTCGCCTTTCGCGACCTGGCCATGAACTTAGTATTAAGTTACAGGCTCGCTCTCTAAGGGTTTACCTACAAAAAACCAACTAACTACTGCCTGCACTGCGAGAAAACTACAAGATCGGGACAGAAGCCTCCAGAGCCGCTTGAGCAGCTGGGCCGCCGCCGTCTGGATGCCTGGCAGGCCTCTGGCCCCTGGGCCAGCCTGGCCGGTGGCCGCCGCCAGTGCACGTCCCCGGGGGCTGCAGGCACCGGTCTCGCGAGCCCGCGCCTCCTTCACCTCGTCATCCAAGAAGTCCAGGTAGTCTCTCTGCGCCTCCCGCTGCTCCACATCGTCCACCACCACGGTCCCCGCCATTCCTGCCGCCTAGAAATTGCCTCCCCCAAAGTCGTGCAGAGGATTCTCAGGTGACACCGCCCCGGCGCGAAAACTTCAGAAGTTTTCCCGCCACCAAAGATGACCACAGGAAGGGGCGGGATCACCGGGAGCCCATACCGATTCTGATAGGCTGATTCCTCGTACGTCACAAAACAAGGGCCCAATCGAGAGTTTCTTTTTCTTCGGGTTTTCCGAGAGCGACCTCGCGGTGGCGGGAAATGCACCTTCCGACCTCTGTACACTCCCCTCCACGCTACTCCCTCACGGACAGGATGACTGACCAATGGAATCGAGAGGCTCTAACTGAGCTGCCTGGCCATTGGGCAGCTGGGGGACGGTTGCATTCTGGGAGTCGTAGTCTTCCCCTTTGCCCGGATGTTTTGCCTAATTCTTTCACGCTGCGCTTCCGGGACCTACCGCAAAGTGGACGAGCGCAGCGCTGCGTTTACACAGAAAGTGGGCTAAGTGCTGCGGAAGGGGCTTAACTTGAAAGCTAATCATTTTAAAAGTATATCCTTGTTTCTCAAGCACCTGTCCTTAGGTGGCATCCAAGGAAAAAAAAGGTGAATTTTGAGAATCTGGCATGGAAAATAAAATAGCATCTTCGAGAAAGGTCATGTACACTAGTTCGGCGACCCATTTGCTCTCTGAGCACAGTTGCTTTTTTTTTTTTTTTTTTTTTTTTTAATTCCCCATACAATTACAACCCCCTTATTTCGACCCCAAGCCCTCCTTTTCCCGCCCCCCACCCGCCATAGAGTGTCTCTGGTTCATAGTTGTTTGTCGATTTTGATATTTTCTTTCTTATAGTTATTCTTTTTCCTGGTCCCTTATTTAAGTTTTCTAGATTCCTGCTATGAGTGAGACCATCCGGTATTTTTCTTTTTCTTTTTGGCTTATTTCGCTGAGCATGATCCCTTCCAGCGCCATCCATGTTGCTGCAAATTGCATGTGTTTATCTTTTTTGAATGCTGAGTAATATTCCATGGTGTATATGTAACACATCTTGATCCAGTGATCTATTTTTGGGCATTTGGGCTGTTTCCAAAGCTTAGCTATTGTAAATAGTGCTGCTCTAAACATAGGGGTGCAGGTGCTCTTTGGAATTGATGTTTCTGTGAGCACAGTTGCTTTTATCCCATACAAATATCATGCCACGGAGGAAGGTGAAGTGAAAGAAAAATTTTCGTTATGTACCTCTTTCCCCCTGGATATGGCCTCGTTTGTTAAGTTAGAGAACGTTCTCGACGGAAGTACTACACCATCTTTCAAAAGGGTAAATGAAAGGCATTCTCCACTTTATAGTCATATGTAATTATATTCCTGTATTCTGATCACAGGATCTTTCTAAATAACCGTTTTTAAAAAGATAACTCGAAAAACAAATGTTAAACCCCACTGTTAAGTATCAATCAGTATTGTAAAGGAAATCTAAAATTATAAATAAAAGATCAACTGCCTCTCCAAGTTTTATTTTTTAGTCTTTTGCAATTTGTTTTTAATTATAGTTTTACCAGTTTTTTGAGATATTATTTAGAAACTGTAAAATCACAAAGGTATTGTGCGCTTAAGTGTAGAGTTCGATGAACTTTTTTTCTATGTATACACCCAGTGCTCAATAGAGACCTTCCTTTTGCCCCAGCATGTGTTCTTGCAGAACAGGGAGCTAAAATACTTGCCCAGTAGTAGATACCTGGTAAATCTACCTTGGCCCATTAAATACTAACTTATGTTTGAAGGTCTCCAAGATTCACTGTGCTCTGATAAATACTCCAAGTATAACATGCCTAAACAAATGTATGTGCCACTGTCTGTGCATATATATTTTTGGTTATCTGTATACAGTTTATGTTATTATGTATTTTGTGTCATTCTGGTGAGCAGAGAAAGCTATCTTTGGTCGAAACAGTTACCTGACTGCTTGCTTTGTTTATATAACAGACAACAAAATCTAGAATTAGATCCTGTTTGCAATTACATAGTAAGAGGTAATTATTATCTAAGAATGCCTTTTTCACTTGCTCATAATTGTCATGACTATAATGAAGGCAATATTGACAATATTCAATTCTCACTGCTGTGGAAGTAATTTTAAATGAACACACCCACACACACAAGAAACTTTGCTCAAACTATAACAGGGTGGCCCCCAGGAAAAGGGGAGAACACTGGAGTAGGAAGGAAGCAGGATGGAGAGCAAATAGGAGATCTGAAGGAGGCACAAGGAGCAGAGAGACATGTGAAGAAACTACGCTTGCTTCTTGGTCCTGGGCTGTTTGAAACAGATGTGGGTGAGAGGCCCATGGAGAGGTTAACAATGTCAGCTTTTATGTTGATTTTGATTTTGCTCTTTTCCTCCCAGTCTTGTCTGCCTGTTTCTGACCCTTTTCTGTGGGTTCCCGCTGGAGGGTGCTTTAGACTTGTGGCAGGCTTTCAGGCATTGCTTTGGGCCAACCTTGTTTGGCTGGATGTTTACCCACGAAGGGATGGGTAACTGCCAAGGACCAGCCTCGACAATCTGGGTGTCAGGGGTTCCTGAAGGATGGAATGGCGTCAGCGTCGACACACAATGTCTTGTGTTAGTGTCTATCTCCGAGGGTCTCAGCCAGTCATTTTTTATACACTAAGGCAAGCAGTGAGATTACATCATCATGTGCATAGAAACAAAGCAGAAACAATCAGTGCATCCCTTAGATTTTTTGTTGCTATATGCCTTCTCCAAGAAGGCAACCTTCAAGGTTAATAGATAAAAAACTAAGCCTTACACTTAAACTCATTATTTCAGCTGGACAATTGCCTAGGACAACCGATAGCTGCTGGTACACTCCTTTCAGCTAAAGCATAAGCATCAAAAGACTCTTCTATTCATATGGCCTTCAGCCAGAGACCAGTTGCTTTTTGGTTATCAGCTCGCAGGATTTTCTACCAAGAAACTTCTTAATACAATTAACTTCATTTAAAAACTTTCCTAAGAAACTTCTAAAAAAAGCAAAAGAAGGACTTAGTATAACCATTGTCCTAGATTTCTTGTCAAGCATGTTCATGTATAACAAACTCTTTCCCATGGTCCGGCAGGCCAAATTTACAGTGTTTAATTTTTAAGCAGGTATTTCTTTGTGCCATTTACTTACAGTATTCTATACATATAATTTATTGCCCAATGTACTTTCTGAGAAGTTTTTTCTTATATGACCAAGAACAAAAAACAAAGGGATGCTTATAGGTTACAGATTGATCTTCAGCCCCACAGTGTGAGGCACAAGGAATCTTCAGCCCCACAGTGTGAGGCCCTTTTTCTTCAGCCCCATGGTGTGAGGCCCTCTTTCTAAGCTGCTTGCCAGTGTCTTATCTGGCTGGGGCAGCAAGGACCCCCGCAGGTAACTTTGGGTGCTTGATTTAGAAACTATATTCTCTGTCTTTTCTGTATTGCACACTAAGTTGTATTAAAGTTCCTTTCCATTAAAGGTCTTACATGTCTTGTCTTGATGTGCTAGATGGCAGAGCCTATTTAGAGCAGGCAGGTGTGGGGGGTTCTGGTGTGCCTCTCTCCCTGCCCTGTAACAAAACAAATAGAAAAATCAAGTCATTTACATGGCACACCCAAAGGAGTGGGAATATGAAAACCGAGTTTTGGACTCTAACACACTTTTCTGTGGGCTTCAGTTTCCTCATTATAAAAGATGAGGGAATCAGAAACTCTATATTTCTCCCACTCTAACATTTTGCTAGTCTGGATGGAATTTGGAAACTGTGTAAAGATAATTCCATTTTGAATTAAGCGTGCCATAGCCCTTAACAAAGACTTGATTTGCTTTCATGTCATCATTTTCAGCCATGAAGGACACTCAGATATTTAATTGGTATGTCTCCCTTCTTTCATTAGGGGGTGAGATCTTCGAGTGGCGGAACTGTGTCCCCTTTGTTAGCCCCTGTGCTTCTAAACTGCCAGAGAGAACAATCAGATTGTCGCTATATAAAAATGGGGGGAGAGGGGGCATTTGAAAATATCTCAAAGAGAATGCAGCTCGCCTTGGGCAGTGGCTCCCCTCTACTACTCACTCAAAATGAAGAAACACACGTCTCCTGATGAAGTAATCTATCTGTGGCTTCCATTTTACACACATTCCCCTCTTTATCTGTTTTCTCTCCACCCTAGACCTTGACTGACTTAAAGCCAATCTCCAAGGCTAACTGAACACTAGGGGGCTCCCAAGAGAGCAGACGTATATGGGAAGGCAGTAGAAAACAGATCACAATATATCTATATTATTTGTATTCTTCCATGTCCTCAGGGACCAAAAAGCACCCCAGAACATAATACAAACCCATAGTAAGTAATATTTATATTTATTAAATGGTGAATATCTATGTTAAAACCGATGAACAGTGTTTTATGTTGAAGAACTTTTCAACAATACCCTATTGTTGATAACTAGCTTTAACTACTCTAGAAAGTGTCATAAAGCCAGTATTGGAAGTCATCAGAGACATTTATTTGCTCTATGCTTAAGGAACATTATGGAAGAGCAAATGGTCTTTGGAATGAGCCAGTGTGTCTTGTAAAGCTAGGAATGTCCCATAGCCCCTGCTTCCAACTTTTGCTTCCTGGAATCCTTTGGGTTAGATATGTTAGGAAGAGCAGCAAAATCCAGAAGCCAGAGATAATCAGTGATCCTGATTTGCTCATTAAGTTTGAAACAGAGTTGGGCCTGCTGACAATTTATTATTCATTGTCATTTGCCAAGGTTATTTTTCTGCACTTGGGTTTCTTGTCCTTGAAAAGTCATTCACATTCGTAGCTGCACAAATTTCGCTGAGACTGTGTTGAAGAGATTTGCTTCAGTGCTTTAAGTCACAGCTTTGCAGGAAAAAATTACCCAAACTTAACAGTGAATATGAATATGGTATATGAGATTCTCTCATAATAACTCTACTCTGTAAACCTGTCTAGATTTAAATGCACATTTTAAAAATATAGTCCCTTATGCTTTAAATTGCACCAATGTAATAAGGTGCTAAAGAGATTTAACCATATAAATCAACCAATCAAATATTAGTTGAGCATCTGTATACCTAATTCTGACCTTCATCAGCGACTTTACATCAGTGTTGCCCAATGAAAATATCATGCATTACACATAAGATTTAACATTCTGTAGTACCTACATTTCAAAAAGTAAAAAGAAATAGGTGAAATTAATTTAAGGTACACCTGATTGAACCCAGGATACCTAAAGTATCAATATATAATTTATATAAAAAATTATTAATGAGCTACATTACTTTTTTTCTACACTAAGACTTAAAACCCCATTGCGATGGTCACATTTAGCCACTCCCAGTTCAGATTAGCCATAATTCAAGTGCTCAGTCAACTATGTGGCTAGTAACACAACTGGAGAATATAAAAATCTTGTCTTTTGAAATAGCTTATGATTTAGTTTAAAATAGTAGCAATCATTTATTTTATATGTACTATGTGCCTGACACTATGGTAAGCATTTTACTGTGTAAACATAATTTATCTTTACAATTCATTGAGACATGGTTATTTTTAATCCTCATTTTATAGGTGAGGATTCTAAAAGTTTAAAATTCCATACCAATAAGGTATGGACAGAGGTAACATTTGAACCCAGCTCTATATGGTTATATCAAATAGCATTTAAGAACATCTGATATGTTAACATCCAAATGCAGAGTTGGACACATAAGACTTAGTAGGATTTACTTAAATATTCAGTGAACAGGTATTTTATATTTTAAAATACCTTAATTGATTTTAAAAGACAGTATATCCTATTTTTACCTCAGTGCACTTTAGTTTTTCTTAATTTACTTTACTGCTTAATGTATAGAGAGTTAAGTTTTCCTCCGGACATGGTGAATGCCTTCAGCTAATTTACGGATGGACTAACATCTCTATGTGTCCTGTAACATTTGTTTTTTCATTCATTTAATCAATAAGTGTGTGGTATATAGGAAACAGTAAATTAGATATTACTTATAATCAGTTTGTACATCCTTCAAGTAAACTGTACATCATTATTTGGAAGTTTCAAAATACTGAAAATGCAGCAAGGTTTTGAGATGCTATTTAGTCACACTATAGATGACACTGTATGTGATTATATGATCTGCAGGTGATGTAGGGGAATACAAATATGAGTAAGATGAAAAGTTTACAATCTAGTGTGGAAAATAAGGCATAAACACAAATAACCATGAAAACAGGCAGTATGTGTTCTAGGCATGATACAAAGCGGTCCGGACATTAAAAATGCCAGGTATAAACTTGCACAGAAATGATGAGGGAAAAATTTAAGAGGGGAGGTAGCATTTAATTGAAGATCAAAAGATGCACAATTATTCCTCTGAGGAGATGTGGCAGCAGTGACATGTAAACAAATTTGAAAGGCACATACTTGGAGAGACCAGCATGGCTGGAATGCAGGGTCAGCAGGATGGGTGAGGGCGCAGGACTGGCAGCCCTCGGGTCCATCAGCCCTGGTGATGGAACACACTGACCTGCAGAGTAAAAATACTGCTTGATCTAGTAGGCAGCTAGAGGCCGTTGATGCCTTTTGCACAAAGAAGAGGCAGCATCAGAGTTGCGCTTTAGGAAGATTAATGTGGCCAGAGGATGTATGGAATGGATTATTTAAATCAGATAAAAAGAAATGAAGCCTGAAGGGTGTTTTAAAAAGGCACAGTAAGAAAAGGAGGAGAATGAGACATTTCAAAGCAAAACACAAATCTAAAAGCTATTTGGATGGATATAGGGATGAGGGAAAGAGAAAGAAAAAAATTACGTATAGGTAGAATAAATACATGTGCCTCCCAGGACTTACTGTATCCACGTGGATGTTAATAATCTTTATTTAGAATGAGCAGCTGTGTTGCAGTTATGACACATAGGAAAAGAAATTTAAAAATTAACCAAGTATCCCAGAATACCAATCATCAGAAAAGGAATATACCTTTGACATTTAGTTCTAAAATTTTGTGTGGACACTATGGAAAAAAGAAGGAAATTGATGTTTGAATTTTAAAGCAAAGTGTATATAAACTATACCTCAGTTAAGCAAAGTTATATAAATTATGCCTCAATTCCATTTATTCTAAAAATCTAACCAAGGAAAATAGGTTATAAAAGCACCGTGTCTGCATCTAGTCAGCTGGGGAAAGCAGGGATAAGAAGGAGAAGCCACTGCTCTTTGAAGTAAGCTGAGTATTCATTTTAATTGACTCCATGCCATTTGCCTCAGAAGCTACAGTTCCTGTACACAGCATTTACAATCAATTTGATAGACTAGAAGCCAGGCTTTGGGAAGACTGAAACTCATGGCATCCTCTACTCACTGAACATTTGATGATGTAGGAACAGAATTTGAGAGATTCTTGTGAGGCACCTTGGTGTACAAGTTTCAGAAATGGTTGCATTGATCATTTGCTACCCTTTATAGAAATTCACTAAGAGTGTCTCTTCCAGTTCCCACCTCTTTTAGTTTACTCTCAGCAACTTTCTACATTCTTCTAGCTCAATTGTAATAAAAAAAAAAAACCAACTTCTATTACCCTTCATCAGGCCTCCCAATATCCTATTGGTTTTAGAGAATATAGGAAAAATGTTAAAATTCTGATTTCATATGTTAAGTGCTACAATGACCAAAAGAAAAATCTCTGAAAAGTTGAGGGGTTTAGTGCTTACCTCTTATCCCCAGCCTTTCACTGTATTCTTTGATGAGCTTCCAAAAAATATCTCTGATCTGAAATCAAACCCAGAGGGATATTTTTCCTGGCCTGTGTTCATCTAGTTAGCCACCTGTTTCTCTCTATGCTAATACAGGAAGGGGATATGAGAAAACGGAAGATGTTGGCTCAGAGCCCTAGAGGTCTGGGGAAGGTAGCTTTTAAAAGAATCACTTTTTACTCACTGACATGCTCCATTGCCACCTTCATTAACTGGAAATACAAAACATGCCAACTATTTATAAGAAATAATAACACAGTCCATATTAGATTTTCAGATCAAGAAGTCACCTTAGAGGCCATTTAGTGTAAAGCCCCATTACAAAATCTAGACAACTGAAGGACAGAGAAATTTGGTTAGAAGCCAAATCAATATATTTAAAATAAACGAGGAGGTATATTTTTAAGGCAAGGAAATACTCCATTGGTGAGGAATGGAGAAAAAGGAACCCTTGCACACTGTTGGTAGGAATGTGGACTGGCCCAGTTCCCATGGAAAACAGTACAGAGGTTCCTCACAAGATCAAAAATAGACCTACCATATGTGTTGGTTCTAAAATACTACTAATAATGAGTAATATGAAGGAGGGTAAAAATGAGATGGAAATAACTAGCATTATTCAACAGTACTTTCTATAAGGATAGAAATGTTCTATATCAGCTCTATTCAATATGCTAGCCATTAGCCACATGTGGGTACTGAGCACTTAAAATGTGACTATGCAACCAAGAAAGTGAATTTTAATTTTACTTAACATTAGTGAATTTAAATTTAGATGTCTAGACACTAATGATAAAGGACTGATCACAAAAATCTGCAAAGAGCTGATGAGACTCAACAACAACAAAGAAAATAATCCAGTCAAAAAATGGGCAGAAGAGCTAAAAAGAAACTTCTCTGAAGAGGAAATGCAAATGGCCAACAGGCATATGAAAAAATGTTCAACATCACTTGTAATCAGGGAAATGCAAATCAAAACTACCATGAGATACCGTCTTACACCAGTGAGAATGGCACATATTAAAAAAACTAGCAACAACAAATGTTGGCGAGGGTGTGGAGAAAAAGGAACTCTTCTGCACTGTTGGTGGGAGTGCAAACTGGTCCAACCACTATGGAGAGCTGTGTGGAGATTTCTGGACCTACTAAACATAGAGCTTCCATATGATCCAGCAATTCCACTCCTAGGTATTTACCCAAAGGACACAGAAACATCAATTCCAAAGAGCACCTGCACCCCTATGTTTAGAGCAGCACTATTTACAATAGCTAAGCTTTGGAAACAACCCAAATGCCCCAAAATAGATGACTGGATCAAGAAGATGTGGTACATATATACCATGGAATATTACTCAGCATTCAAAAAAGATAAACACATGCAATTTGCAGCAACATGGATGGCGCTGGAAGGGATCATGCTCAGCGAAATAAGCCAGAAAGAAAAATAAAAATACCGGATGGTCTCACTCATAGCAGGAATCTAGAAAACTTAAATAAGGGACCAGGAAAATGAATAACTATAAGAAAGTGAAAATTAAAATCAACAAAAAACTATGAACCAGAGACACACTATGGGGGCTAGGGGGCGGGAGGGGAGGGATTGGGGTCAAAATAAGGGAGTTGCAATTGTATGGGGAATATAAAAATAAAATTTATTATAAAAAAATAAATTTAGATGTCTAGTGGATAGCACTGCTATAGATGATAACGACATGGCAAATGACTAGACATAGTCCAAGTTAAATATGCTAAGGTTTTTTGTATTATTTAGACAAAAGGGAATTTTGAAGTTGCTATGCATTTAAAAATTTAAGGACAGGGCCTCCCTGGTGGTGCAGGCGGTTGAGCGCAGCGCTGTGAAGCTGTCCGCAGCATCCGCAGCGCGGTTCAAACCCTGCTGGCAAGGGTCCCACATGGCGCAGCAGACCTCTCCTGTCACGCCTGCTGCTCCTGTCAGCAGTGTATTTCATCAGTCTGCCTGTTCTGTTCCCTGCTTTGTCTCTGGTGAATCCTCTCACCCTCCCGCGCATCTAGCCTATACCCTGGTTCTTGTATAAATAAATAAAAAAATCTTTTTAAAAAAAATTTAAGGATAAAGATTAGAAAAAGCAAAATAGTATCCATTTCAAATAGAATCATTTCCAAAGTCGAAGAAAAAGGGATACTAAGAAAACACTATTAACACCTAGGATTGGAAAAGAAGTGGAAAAAAATAGATAAGTCCAAATCATCCTCTTTTCTCCATGTTGTATTATTTCTATCTGACTACTTTAGATCTTAGAACTTGAACTTGATTTCTTGTTGTTTAGGAAACTTGTGTCCACAAAAGCAATGATGTAGCATAATAAGTCCTGCTGTAGGGAAGTAAGTCCAGTTCCACAGGGAAGTTCTCTTTCTTGAGGACAGGGGTCAACAGCTCATTTAACCTGGGCTCTGTTAGTGAGACTAGCGAGTGCTCTTGAGTACCACTGGATAGTTGTGGGGAGGAAGAAAGAAAAGAGAAAAGAATAAGGAGAGAAAGAGAGAGAGAGAATAAAAAAGGCTATATGGCTACCAATGACCTCGCTTCCCACAGGAATTATGCCCAACATATTCGTAAAGAGGAAGCAAGATGGAGTGATCTTTTAGACATTTTGTGAACATTTTTTTCTATTGGTACTCCTCTTGTTGCCTTCCAGTTACTGTTTACATATCAGTCTACCCCACTGGACCATATCTTTTTCCGCTTCTTATTCTGAGTACATAGCACAATGCTGACATAGAATAGGCCTTAATGAATGTCTGTTGAATAAAGATTGAATATACAACTTCAGATCTTAAATCATGTCCCGGCTTCTTGTTTAAGTCCTCCAAGTGTTTCTCTTCCTCTTTCTTTTTTTCAAAAGATTTATTATTTATGCATACAAGAACTGGGGTGCAGGCCAACGGTATAGGGGGGTGAGACGATTCACCAGAGACAGAGTGGGGAGCAGAACAGGTGGATCTACTGAAATACACTGCTGAGGGGAACAGTGGGTGAGACAGGAGAGGTCTGCTGAGCCATATGTGGGTTAGCCCCCTGCCAGGATCAAACTCGTGCTGCAGTGGCTAGGGATAGCTTGATAGTGCTGCGACTTAACCCTTATGCCACCAAGAAGGCCCAAGTCTTTCTCTTTTGCTTTACTGCTTCCTTGGGTCCTTCTTCAGGCCCTCAAATTTTGAAACCTTTAAATTTTTTTTTAATCTAAGCTGTGACACTTAAATCAACTTGTAGGTGGCCCAGAGTTGCTTTGTCCAAGACAAAAGAGAGAGACTGGGGCAGTTTCTGGAACTGGGAACTTCCTGAGGAACCTCAAGAGTGCCACAGACTCCTAACCCTGGCTCTTTTCACTTTTTCGAAGCTGGGGTAAGGAGCATGGGCAAGAAGATAGAGGGAGGATGTGGCCATTCCTGACACATAGTGCCATGTCCTTCCTCTCCTGTGTCCCAGGCTGTAGTATGGAGCCCCACTGCATGCTTTTCAACCACTCCCAGCTTTCAAAAACGACCTCTGATCTTCAGGATAGCAGTCCTCTCTTTTCAAATGAATTCAGTTCTACTGCTTACAGTTATGGATGGCACCATGTTAAAAGATACAGTAGTCTGGTCTAGCAAGATATTTCTATCAACTGTGTTGTTCAGTTGACACTGAAGGGATTTTCCAACAAAAATGCTTGTGCAAACAGCCTGTAGGGTAACTAGCCCCACCTTGAACCTTCTTCCTCACTGACCAGGCACTGTGCCAGACCTGCTGGCCTTTCAGCTCCGGAATGAGCTGAGCAGGAGCTATGTTGAAGGGAGGCAAGTAAGGTTGAATGAAGCTCAGGTATTTGCACTGCAGTGAGGCAGATACATTTGGGCCAAGCCACCTGTGGCTTAGAAGAAGGCTGCTGTTTATTTTAGGAGATGACAGGCAACAGGTGCATACTTACCTCTCCTTGCCAGTGGATTTAGGGTGACTGGCCAAGGAAACTCCTCTCCTGACAGCCAATCTTGTTGAGTCCTCAGCAAGTCTGGGTCAGCCTGGGTTGGTGAAAGAAAAAAGGTAATGAAGGGGCCTTCCTCATTGCACAAGGGTTAAAGTCTCAGCGCTATCAAGCTATCAGCAAAGGGCATGAGTTCAATCCTGACCAGGGAGGTGACTCATATGGCACAGCAGATCTCTCCTGTCTCTCCCACTGCTCCCCTCAGCAGTGTATTTCAGTTGATCCGCTTGTTCTGCTCCCCACTCTGTCTCTGGCGAATCCTCTCACCCACTGCACTGGCCTACACCCCAGTTCTTGTATGCATAAACAAAGAAAAATATTTTTTTTTAAAAAAAGTAATGAGCAGAAAGAGGGGCCAAAAGAGCACTCTCCAGCAGCCACAGTGAAAGAGCACATCTCCAGAACCACAGATGGAGAGAGAAACAAAGTATTGGTTTAAACTGGAAGTGGAAATGATAGAGTCACCCACTCACTTCAGTCCTGGAAGCCCAGGTGGTACCCAGACCTGCAGAGATTAGCAGCAGAAATTAGCCAGGATACCCAAAGCCCAGAGAATTAGACTGAATATGCAGCCAAATGCATTTCACCAAAGTCCCAATGCCATGGATCTGGGTGGACAAGGAAGTCATAAATGATAAAATCAAGGTCAAAATCCCCTGAAAGAAGCTGGAGCTCATAAAAATTTAAGAAAATATGGATTCACCACAGGTGCTCAGGTCAGCATATTAAGGATGGAATAAACAGCTGGAGACTGCCTTCAACCTTTGTATTTTTACATATGAAGAAACTGAGGCAGAAGAAAGTAATTTGCAAAAGGTGATGCCACCAGTTCATGATCAGGCTGACACTGGAACTCAAGCCAGTGATCCTTCCACTGGCATATAACTGGTTCTTGCTTTAAGTGCAGTTTATAATCAGACATCATCATACTCATTTCTAATCTTAACCCTGAGGTCCCAAGAGAACAGGAGAACGGCTAGAATTTCTCTCTCTATGTCCCACAAAGTACAGAGGTGACCAGAGTCTCCACACAGAAACCAGCCTCAGAGAGCAACTCCATTGTCAGGAGGAAGGTTCCAGTAGTGTCTACAGTGCCCCCTGGTGTATGGGTGAGCTAAGTGCACATGCTGCAGCCGAGAGTCAGACCCTCAAGCACCACCAGACTTGCTGCTGAGATGGTCTCTGAAATGGTTGAGAACATACAACTAGTTGGTGAACTGGACCAGGAATCAGCTGCCCTGCTGCAGTGCCACCTAGCCTCACTTGATGCCCATGTGACATCTCTGGTCCAGGTGGCGCGAGACAATTACACCCAATGCCAGGAGGTGGCAGCCTTTCTTCGGGATGTTATTGATGTCCAAGAGTGGTAGCCCTCCTACTCATCTCCAGCTACTTGAAGCAGGAATGAGGCCTATATACCACAGCCTCTGTCAATGCCAACTACCCCAGGGTTTTGGGGATATATCTCCATTGAGATTTAGATTCTTGCTTCTCTATTCTCCCGTTTTAGGAGAAATTCAAAAATTAAATGGAGGAGAGCATAGACAACAAGGTGAACAAAAGGCAAAGAAACTTAAGATTTTAATAAAAACATCTTGATATGAAATCAAATAGTGTTTTGGTGTTTCATTTGTCTCCGTCCCAAAGCAAAGGATGGACAAGCTTCTGGATTAGACTTCTGATTACAACCAGGCCTTAGCCAGGAAACATCATGGTGGAGAGGTCTAATCTTTCTGTTTCCCCCAAGTCCCTTTTGTTTTCATTCACATTCAAAAGACATGTGAAGGTCTACTCTTTCCTCCAAGCATTATATTAAGTATAGAGTATTTTTATTGATAAAAATGTGCATCACCTTTGGAAAACAGTATGGTGCTTAAAATCATTATAAATAGAACTCCCATATGATTCAGCAATCTCATTTCTGGATATACATCCAGAAGAATTGAAAGCATAATATCAAAAAGATGTAGGATTATTCACAATAAGCAAGAGGTAGATGAAACATAAATGTCCATGGACAGATAAATGGATAAATAAAATGTGGCATATATATACATACAATGGAAAATTATTCAGTCTTGAAAGGAAGGAAATTCTACAACATGCTAGAGTATGAATGCACCTTGAGGAACATTGTGCTAAGTGAAATAAGCCAACTACAAAAGGACAAATAGGCTTCCACTTACATGGGATATCTAAAGTAGTCAAATAAACAGATATAGAAAGTAGAATGGTGATTACCAGGGCTTGTGGGCAGGAACAAAGGGAAGTTTTTGTTTAATGGGTATAGAGTTTCATTTCTGCAAAATGAGAACATTCTGGAGATCTCTTTGACAACAATGTAAATATACTTAATACTGAACCATACATTTTTAAATGGTTGTTATGGGGAAATTTTATTTTTTTACCACAATAAAACAAAATACATACCTCATGAGCCCTATAATTTAAAGAAGAAGATAGTCATTAAATAAACCTGCAAATGAATGACTAGCAATAGAAAGAAAATGAACAGGAAGAATAAAGAGGTAAGAGTAGGGCTCATACCTACTCAATGGATCCATGAAGACTCTTTGGTTATGACCCAAATTAGTTATCAACATGCTCTTCAGAGAAAGTCATGCTCTCCAATGCGCTATGAAATGCTGAGTCATCCTGGACAAGAATCCCTAGAAGTTCAATTTTACACACACACCCCCACCAGCTCTGCAGTAATAATGGCAGTGGTTGCCCCCAATTCCTCTTCCTCCTGGTCTCCCTGGAGCACAATATGGACTGAGGGTGACCATTGCCTGAGCAACTAAAACATTATTTTTGCGTGTAGTATTGTCATAAACCTTTTGTCTATAATTTTTTTTTAGTGCTTGTAAGCATGGATACTCCTGTTGGAGGCCTTGGGTCTCAAAGCATCCTTGGTGTCTCATTTAGGATCATATAAAGGGAATAGGAGCAACACATATTCTTATCTCATAAAGGCTTGGCTCCGACATCTTGAGAGCAGGTGTTTTAGTGTATTTTTTTCAAATTTTCTGAAAGGATGTGTTCTTCACAGAAGGAAAAGGGATAACTTTGTTAAAAAAACTTTGTTGTTAACTTCGTAAAAAAAAAAATTCAACAGAATAAATTTGAAGAACTAATTGGTTTCATTAAATAATTCATGAATCAGGCCAAATCCCTTCTAATAGAAAAGAATTCCAAAGAGCTGTGCAAAATACAAGCCATTTATAGACATAAGAGGGTAAGATAGGAAGAACGTGGATTATGATGTCCCCTTTGGGGGACAAGGAGTCTACAGCAGATAATATCATTAATGGTGGCCAGGAATTCCAGATTTACTGACTAAAGGCTATATTTCTGGGAGAAGCTAAAACTGCCATTAGGTTAGGCATTAAATCTCAGTGTGGTAACATGGGCCTCAGTACAAGTGACTTAATTTTCAGCTTGCTATTCTAGATTTAACACCTTATGCTCTCTTGCCAAATGATGGTGAAGTCACGAATGAGGCTTCCCTCCTGAGCCTTTGACTACCTCAACCTCTGCTCAATTGCTTAATTCCCCTTCAGTCCAGGACCTTGCCACAGCCATAACTCAAACTCTGGGTAGGCACCTGCCTTCCAAGGATGAGGATGGTTAAGAATGGCAAGAACAGGTCCTCCCTGGTGGTGCAAGGGGTTAAGTCTCAGCATATGAAGCTATCACCAGCCACTACAGTACGAGTTCAATCCTGGCCAAGGAGCTAACCCACATGGCACAACAGACCTCTCCTGTCTTGCCTGCTGCTCCCCTCAGCAGTGCATTTCAGCCAATCTGCCTGTTCTGCTCCCTGCTCTATCTCTGGTGAATCCTCTCATCCCCACACCTCTGGCCTACACCCCAGCTCTTATATACATAAATAAATCAATCTTTTCTAAAAAAGAATGGCAAGAACAGAAGCATGGCCCCTTCCTCCTGCCATGCAATTGATTTATCTCCACCCAGGAACCTGAAGACTTTGATCATCATTCACACTTATCTGAGGCCTCAGAGAATGTGGCTGGGCCATGACTGAGCAAACAATGACAACATTTTCACACTACCTGGAGCTAGAAGCAGGTGTGACTAGCTCAGCTCTCTGATGCTACAGATAGAGATGGACCCCTCAATCCAGAACTTGTTCAAGATCAGGGTTCACCCAAAAGTTACTTTAATGGACCCCCAGTTACTATCTTCCTGGGAGTTATCTCTCAGCACAGTGCCCGGGCAAGCAAGAAAAGGGCCCCATCCCAGCTCCCCACATCCCCGCCTCCAGGTTCTCCAGGCATCTAAGCCAGTGGTCGGTGAGGTGACTACCCTAGCCATATCCAGCAGCCCCCACCGCGGGACAGCCTGGCAGACAGACTCAAGGTTGGAGGCAGGAGGCAGAGCCAGGAACGTGAAGGGTTCCACCTTGGGCAGTCATGGGGCATGGACCTTCTTGCCCTCCCTGATCTTTCTTCCTCACCCTCCTCCTTGCTTCCTCTAAGCCTCCTTGAGTAGCATTTTATTTTATTTTTTTAAAGATTTATTTGTTTATGCATACAAGAGCTGGTGTGCAGGCCAGAGGTGCGGTGGTTGGGGGGGGGGGCGGCGCATGAGAGGATTCCCCAGAGACAGAGTGGGGAACAGAACAGGCAGATTGACTGAAGTACACTGCTGAGGGGAGCAGCAGGTGAGTCAGGAGAGGCCGGCCAGGGATCAAACTCGTGCTCAGAGGCTGTGGATTGCTTCACAGCGCTGACACATCACCCCTTGCACCAGCAAGAAGGCCCCTTGAGTAGCTTTTTAAAAAAGTAACTTCATAAAAAGTCCAGCTTCAAAAAGAGTTGAAGGCACCCATCAGTGACTAACCCAAATTCCCTGACTGTTTCCTTTCACCCTTCTCAATCCCCAGGCCACCCAAGGGTCTGGATTGAGAAACCTGCACTTTCACAGAAGGAGCGTTGACTCTGAAGTTAAAGACTATTAAGCTGCAATTGTTGCCCAGAGGAGATAAAACATGACTGTGCGGAATTATTCTTAAACCTTAAATACCCAACCTTGCTGCTATTAATGCTTGAGGTAGTCCAAGGAGACTCTTAGTTGAAAACAGATTGAGATGGGGGAGAGTTGTCTATAGGGCCAGGTAAAAAGCCAGGGGTCTCACCTGCCAACGACGACCTGAGTTGAATTCTGCAGTTCAGGAACTTGTTTTTCACTAAGGGAAATCTAGAATGAAAAATAATAATAAATAAGGGACCAGGAAAATGAATATAAGAAAGTGAAAATCAAAATCAACAAAAAACTATGAACCAGAGACACATTTTGGGGGTGGGGGGCGGGAGGGGAAGGATTGGGGTCAGAATGGGGCGTTTGCAATTGTATGGGGGAATATAAAAATAAAATTTATTTAAAAAAATAAATAAAAAATAATAATAATAATAAAGAACAATAAGAGAAGAGAGAAAGAAATTAAAAAGCACTTAAACTGAAAAACAAAACCAACATTTACAAGTTCTGGCTCCCCACTTCCATGAGTGATTATAAACAAAAAGTCACAGAAGTGCTAGTCATTGCTTCCAGGTGCCGGCCACTAGCAGACTTTGAACTGATAGGGAAATAAAAGCTTAAACACAACCTGTAACAGTAAGATAACTTTATAGAAGTCACAGTTATACTGTTGCTTCTGTAAGGAACTCTGTGACTCCGGATAGTTCCTTCCTCCTCTGTAAGGGGTGGGTGTGGTCTGGGAGGTGGGGGTATATCTGGAACACTGAGCCCTCTCAGAGACCAAGCTCATGGCCTCAATCCTGCCTGCAGACCTGTTTTGTTTTTAGCTGCTGTCGGGGCAGGAAGGAAGGGGCACAGTGCAGGTTTTCTGTGATCCCATGCAGACCGGGTAAAGGAGGTGTCAGAGGCCTCAGTGGCTTTTGCAGGTCTTTTATTTAGAGTTACCAGGCAATGGCAGGCAGGGGTGCTGGGGGGCCAGGAGGCTGCCAGTCCTCCCAGCCCCCAGCAAATCCTCACTCTCTCTGGGTTCTCTAGCGTTCTCTCTGCTTCTCCTTCTCTCGGCTTCCGTTCGTTCTTGGCTTCTGCTGGCACCCCCATGACGCCGCCCTTATAAACTCAGTCTCTCAGCCCAGGTGGACCCACTCCTGGTGCCGCCATCAGGCATGCATCCAGGACCACAGGGTTCCCTCATCTATCCTGATGGTGGGAGGGCAGAAAAGCCGGATACTTTTACCTTACCCTACATCTGCTAACATTAAAAATTAGAAGATCTCTAATAGAAATATAAATACTTAGCTTTGGGGGGGGGGAAGATTCATAATTTCTATCGACATTGGGCCTATATTTTCCAATTATCAGCAAAAGACAGTTCTTAGATAGGTTTGAGGCTATTCTTACCAAACCAGATTCACACAGCAGGGCAGGTGGCTATGGGGATGGGAGGGGAGAGGAATGAAGATGTAGCCAATGCTCTACCTCAGGTCTAACTCTGGTTGGCTCCTTCTCAACAGGCTGGCCCTTGTCTTCTCCACTTAGTCTGGTCTCATACCTCATACATCCTCTCTGGAGCCTTGATCTGCCTCCCCCAAGCATGAGAAAATATTTTAGGAAATCCCCAATTGATATAAAACCTGTGGAAATTGACTGACCAAAAATTTGATTTGGTCACATATTTTAATTTGGAAATTTAACATTAATACAACTAAAATGGAACTGGTAAAAGAAAAACAAAAGATCTCTGAAAGGATGTGGTTGTGGTGAACAGTGGGATCCTGGGCTTCTTTTTTTCCTTCTTTAGTCCCATAACTCTTAGTTTTACATTGAACAAAATAGTAACTATAATTTATAGAACACTCCCTGTGTACTAGACAATCCTTTGAGGTTAGTATTGCTACTAGCCCATTTTATGAATGAGAAAGCTGAGGTTTAGAAAAATCATCCCTTCCAAAGACCACAAAGCTAGGGAGCTGGTGGACAATGCTGGGGTTTGAACCCAGACTTTCTGATTCCGGAGTGGGAACTCTGGCGTCCGTAACTTGGAAAGCTTTTGAGCTCAGGGAACTGAATCTGCCTTTTTGTATCTCTCCAGACAGATACAGATGCTCAAAAACTAGGACTCACTAGGCCTCCCAGGTGGCGCAAGGTGTTGGGACGCAGCCTATGAGGCTATCCACAGCCACTACAGCATGAGTTCGCTTCCCTGCCAGGGAGCTACCCACATGGAGTGGCAGACCTCACCTGTCTCGCCCGCTGCTCCCCTCAGCAGTGTATTTCAGTCAGTCAGTCTGCTCTGTTCCCTGCTCTGTGTCTGGTGAATCCTCTCACCACCCACACCGCTGGCCTGTACTCCCGTTCTTGTATGCATAAATAAATAAATCTTTAAAAAAAAAAAAAAACTAGGACTCACAGGAAGGTATGGAGAGAGGGAGGGAGAAATAAATAATGAGTGCTGATGGGGAGCTAGAGCTCTCTCAGGATATGTCAAGCTGCCCAAGTGTCATTATTTTATAGTTCCGATCGATTAGCTGGTAAATACATACTCTTGTTTCCAGTTCCAATCTCAGTGGTAGCTTCTCTATGAATCCTTTCCTGACTGGGATGTTAAGTGGCTGTCTGCATTGCACCTGGCACATGCCTCCATTCTTGTGCTTTCCAGTGTGTTGTGATGTACATGCCTGTCCCCCACAGTAGACTCTTAGAAGACAGGACCCCTTGGTTCTTTCCTAGTGCTGGTAGGCATAAAGTATATCGAGTGAATGGCCTTTTTCATCTTATTTTAACAAATAATACCTCCACCACTACTCAGCACATACATTTTGCATAGTTTGACGTGAAATTTGGGAAGCATATGTAGGAGCTGTGATGGATCTCCTCCCATTTTATATTTGTTTGCTCTAACCCCATAAAGTCATAGAGACTAGGAAAGAAAAATAGGAAAGATGGATGCAAGAGTAAGTAAGCTTTAAAGCAGAATATGCCACAATTTTCACAGGTAGCCTGTTATTCCTTGAACAACTATTAAGAACCTACTTCTGCTGGTGCTTGGCACTGGGGTATAGCAGTAAGCAAAACTGTCAAGATTTCTTTTCTTGCAAAACTTAATACTGGAAAGAAATAATGAACAATTAAACAAAGATCTACATATAAGATGTTTTAAAATCATAAGTACTATGAGAGAAATAAAGCTGGGAACTGGGGTAAAGTGTGGGTAGGGTGGGAACTCTAGGATAAGTGATCAGGAAAGGCATCCCTGCAGAGGTGTTCTTTAAGCAGAGACCTGAATAAGAGATGGAGCCAGATCTGAGTATCTGGAGAGAAGTGTTCTGTGCAGAGGGAAAAACAAATGAAGAAACAATGATGTACCATTGGTCTCAGGGATGAATCTTTTTTTTAAGGTTTATTTATTTATGCATACAAGAACTGGGGTACAGGCTAGAGGTGCAGGGGGTGAGAGGACTCAGCAGAGACAGAGCAGGGAGCAGAACAGGCAGATTGACTGAAATACACTGCTGAGGGGAGCAGCGGGCAAGACAGGAGGGGTCTGCTGTGCCATGTGGGTAGCTCCCTGGACGGGGATCAAACTCGTGCTGCAGTGGCTGTGGATAGCTTCATAGGTTGTATCTTAACCTCTTGTGCCACCAGGGAGGCCCCTCAGGGATGAATATCTTAATGTCTTCAAAGAGTTAGGTGGTACACTATTTTTAATATATGTGATATGGTCCCCGATGGTCAAGGCCATTTATAATGTAGCTCTGCATCTTATCTAGCTAAGCTAATTATCTCTTCTATAATTTAGCAATTCTTTTAATAGAGCTCATGGCCTCCCCCACATCCAATATTCATGTGTGCCTCTGATTTTCTTTTTAGCTCTTCTTTCACCTAAAATACTTTCCCCCTCCTTTGCCCTTCAAAGCTTAAGTAAAATTGCATTGCCAACTAAAATAAAATTGCATCTCCTCTATTAAAAATAATTCTTTAGAAAAAATTTTTCAGTTGGAGCTATTTAGTACATGGAATGGATGTAGGCAATAATACTACCTAGATGATAAAATTGTATGGAATTCTATACATATATACATTCCAGGGAATACAAGCAACATTCAAGTCTGAATAAGGTCAGTAGATCTTATCAATATCAATATCCTGATTGAATTGTAATACTATACTTCTGCAACATATTACTAGTGAGAGAAATTGGGCAGAGTGTACAGAGAATCGCTGTTTTCTTTCCTATAATTACATATAAATCTATAGTTGTCTCAATATTTGAAAAGCGAATAAGCAAATATATATTATGGAAACAATGAAATATAAATGTCTTCATTAATCTGAAAAAAAAACAGATTTTCAAATTGTTATAAGTCTACTATCTAAACTCCATTCTACACATTTTTAACTTGCTCCGTTATAAAGAGTAAAATGCATTGTCTAATGAAATATACCAGTCTTTTACCTTCGCAAAAAAAGGAAGTGAGTTTCATCTGGAATAATTTCTTCTCAGTGAAAACTTGCTGGTACCCATAATTACTTCCTTCCCCTCTTTCATGTTCACAAATTTCCCTTCAAGAACTTTGCCCGGGACTGGCATGTATAGTTTGCCGAATCAACTTTCTTTTCCTTTTCAAAAATTGGAACAGTGTGTACCAATCTATAGTCTTCTGGCATCTCTCCCTGGCTCCACAGTCCCTGAAAAACTGCCAAATGTTTTCTCATATATAACTTCTATTGGTACCCCAGCCAGAATTTGTCCATGCTTGGAGACACAAGCTCTTTCAAAGCTAGCCGTTCTCTTATAATACCCACACTCATTTTACACTTCAGTGTCTTCCTACTGACATTTGCAGGATGAGAATTCAACTTCTGAAAAGTTGGTGCAAGATAGAAATCAGGAAGTTCTGGATGCAAATCCAGGTTCTGTCATTCTCTAGCATTATGACGTTGGATTAAATTATCCAGTTCTTTGAGCTTCTATTTACATATCTGTAAAATGGAAATAATATTATTTTTGTTAGGCTATCAGATTGTAGTAGAAATTGGAAGAGATAGGGCCTCCCCGGTGGCGCAGCGGTTGAGCGCTGGGTTGCGAGGCTGCCCGCAGCCTCTGCAGCACCAGTTCAATCCCCGGCTGCTCCCTGGCCACCAAAGGAGGGTCCCACATGGCGCGCAGACCTCTCCTGCCGCCCACTGCTCCCCTCAGCAGTGTGCTTCGGTCCTTCTGCCTGCTCTGCTCCCGGCTCTGGTGAATTCTCTCACCTTCCCGCACTTCTGACTGTACCCAGTGCTTGTATGTATAAACAAACAAACAAATAAATAAATAATAAATCTTTTCAAAAAAAAAAAAAAAAAGAAATTGGAAGAGATAATATTTGTAAGAGTGCTGAGCACTAATTGATAGAAACCACAAAGCAGATGATGAATAGATTTGCTTCCTCATAGATCTGTGGATTGATGGGACTTCAGGATTGGAAGATATTGGAGGAGTTGCCCAATCCTACCTCCTACTCAGTGAGGCCGGGACTCAGGAAACAGCACATTTTAGCATGAGACAGCTTCTCACTGTCACATGTTACCATTATGACTTCTGCTCCTGAGCAATAGGACTGTAACTTCCACATTCAATCAAAACCTTGAAAAGGTCTTTTCTCTGTCCCAGATACTTTAAACCCTCTATCTGGTCACTTCCTAAAATAACCTTGTAATGTAAGCATTTTTATTTCCATTTTATAGTGGAAAATGAGGCTCAGAGATGTTAAGTAACTTGCCTGATACCTCACAGTAAGTGGGGTTCAGCCAGGTCTATCTGAATAGCAAGCCCCTGCTCTTTTCTGCACTATTACACTGCTTTAAAAAAAAAAGAAGAAGAAGAAGAATTGTGCTTTTTTTCTCAAGATTCAGCTCAATCCCTTGTCCTTCTTTTAAGTGTTACCTTCTGCTGTGGACTGAATTATGCCCCTCCCCATTCATATTTTGAAACCCTGACCCCAATGTCATGACAGTATTGGGGGATGGGGGTTTTGGGGAGGAACTTAGGGTTAGATGAGGTTGGAGGATGATACCCTCATGATTGAATTAGCACTTTATAAGAAGAGGCACCAGGGAGCTATGCTCTCCCTCTCTCACAACAAAACCTACCTTGCTGGCACCTTCATTTTGGAGTTCCCAGCCTCCAAAACAAAATTTATTTCCCTGGTAAAAGAAATGCATTTCTGTTATTTAAGCTGGCCAAGTCTGTGGTATTTTGTTCTGGCAGTCCGAACAGACCAAAGCACATCCATTGTATCTAACTCTCTTTTTCCCAGTGTGGCCTTTTTCAAATCTGACCTTATTAATGAGCTTGCATTTCAGCCTACTCAGTCGCTCCCGCTTCCAGCTTCCTGCCTTCCCCATTGTTCATTGTATTCTCAGTGTTCAGTTTCTGACAGTTCTCTTACCCTCTGGAGACATTTTCCTGTTTAGTGTCTCAGACCAGGTGATCAGACCAACGATTTTTTCCTGAATGGTTTGACATTTGCTTTCCTAAAACCTGACTGTCTATTCATGGGTATCCAAACTTTAAAAAAAAAAAAAATGGGTATTTCTTACCAAGACACCTAATGCTTCAAACTGATTTACTGATCTCCACTTTGGGGTCCAAGTTATGCCCAGACTAGCAGTGCCCTCTTCTCCCTCTGTTTCCTGGGAGCTGCAGTTGTTGGCCAAGCAAATTAACTGTGTGTTGGAGCAGCTTATGAGCCATCCTGTTCCCACTGACATTTCCTTTCCTGAGTCCTCGTGGCATCTGTTGTTTCTTCTATCCATGTTAGCCCTTTATTACAGGATTTTTTTTTTAAGATTTATTTACTTATGCATACAAGAACTGGGGTACAAGCCAGAAGTGCAGGTGGTGAGAGGATTCACCACAGACAGAGTGGGGAACAGAATAAGCAGACTGACTGAAATACACTGCTAAGGGGAGCAGCAGGCGAGTCAGGAGAGGTCCGCCATGCCATGGGTCGCTCCCTGGATGGGGATTGAACTCTTGCTACAGAGGCTGTGGATAGCTTCACAGTGATATACTTGACCCCTTGTGCCACCACGGAGGCCCTGAATGTATATTTTAGGTTTATTGGTCATTTGATAATTCATGTTGAAATTATCAAAATCATTAAAAGGGAGTTTCCTGTTTAATAAATCATTTGCATGGTTTTGTAATCGGCAAATGTGTCATTCTGATAAGGTCAGATTCTGATATTTATGATGATAGCTTAAAGTATTTACATGATATTTTATCTGGTTTTGTCACCATATAGAAATATTTATTCATCCAAGAACTGGGGTGTAAGCCAGAGGTGTGGGGGTGAGAGAATTCACCAGAGACAGAGTGGGGAACAGAACAGGCAGACAGACCAAAGTACACTGCCGAGGGTAGCAGCAGGTGAGTCAGGAGAGGTCTGCTGCGCCATGTGGGTAGCTCCCTGGCCAGCCAGGGATCAAACTCATGCTGCAGAGGCTGCGGATTGCTTCATAGTGTGGTACTTTACCCCTGTGCCACCAGGGAGGCCCTGATTACAGAATCTTTTACCTAGTAGGTAAAGAGCTCAGGATCTACTGGTATGTCTAGGATCAAAAAGAAATGTTTGGGACCTACCAAAAAGATTGACTTGAAAAAAACTTCTGTAATTAATGTATGTATCTTTAATGTCCACAAACTTAGCCTTATGAAAAGCAATTATTGGTAAGACAGAAATATGGTAACACAGAAATAATGGTTGATGTCAACTATGGGTTCATATTGTTAATAAAGTGAGGCATATTGTGAAGAAAAATAGGAGCTTACTTGGGATCTTAGGAGTTGTAGTTCCGTATAAAGCTGACCCATGTTCCCCCAAATGGTGCTGAGCACTTATAGTATCTGTAGATTTAGTAGGCAGTCTCACACAATTTTGAGCAGTTATGACTGATGGTGAGTCAAGTAAGAAGTAGCTATCTCTGGGGTATATTGCAAGTGGTTCAATTTTATTTTTAAATGTGAAATAATTTTCTTGGCAATTATTTGCAAGAAAGATACTTACATTACCTAGTTAATACCCAATTTAGGGTTCATAATGTATAATTAACACTGTTCTGGTTTCACGTAAGAAAACTGATATATGAGAAATATTTATTAATTAGGTTCCCTATAGTAAGCAACAGAAGCCAACACTGATTAATTTAACCACAAAAGGGATTTACATTTAAAATATTGGGAAGGTCATAGAATTTTCCAGGCTGTGAAAACCGGGCTTAAGAGCCCATAGTGTAGAACTGACATCTCCGATGGAGTTCAAATTTGGGAATCTCCCTTCTAGAACCACCTAGTGAAACAAAATGCCATGACTGGGCACAACTTGGTTACCTTGGCATGATCTTAAGGGATAAAAGCATGTTTTGCTATAAAAATGGGGAATTATGACTTTAAGACTTAAATTAGGTTTACATGACAGATGATAACCATGATCTCTAATTTAATTCAAGTACAAACACATCCATCATCTCATAAATCTTACAAAATTGAATCTACATGACATTTTAAATAATGCATCTGTCCTATCCGTTGTATTACAAATACAGATTAACATGCACACTAATACATAGCCACCTAATTTACTTGTGCCTATTTACAGCTCAAAAGTTGCCCCCCAAACTCTCACAGTTATTGAAGTCACTATTAAGAATTTAAGAGGGCTTAAATTGGATTATTGGCGACTGTTCAGGCACCAGGAAAGGAGCCAGTCTTGGAGTTCTGACTGAGAAGTTCGCAATACAAAACAGCTCATTAATTCTTCCCAGGGCCAGAGCAGAAAGCACCTTTGTCCCCTCTGCAGATGGTTGTTGTAAGTCACCAAGGTGGCTTCACTTTGACTGTTCTCAGGGTTAGAGAGACCTGGTAAGAAATAGAAGGTCTTTGGACACCCATATCTTGGTTTTGGTCATGCTTCGGGGTCTCATTGGCCAGTTTCTCAGGATATCCGGGAGGAATGTCGCCAGGAGCTCGAAGTGCCATTTGACTGTTATTTGCTGTTTATGAGAGAAGAAGGGCCCTCTTCTGTGTCCTCATTGCACAATCTCATTATTTTTATGGCAACTAACAAGAGAATAGAACTAATAGAGATTTCTGGCACTTATGGAGTAGTCTCCATGTGCCTGGGAAGGTGCCAAACACTTAGTGCTTTCTATCCTTCCATCCCCCTGAGGATCTGTGTGGAGGGCATTGCTGCGTCTCTGGTTTACAAATGAGGAAACTGAAGATCTGAAAGGTTGGGTGACTTCTTCAAGGACAAACACATGAATGGTGAGAGATAGCCTGGAACTAGAATCTAGTCTGCGTGATGGCAAAACCCGAGACCCCCGCCATACCATCCACCTTCCCTGGGGGTGCTGGCCTTTTTTTTCTTTTGAACATTTTTCCTAACGAGGACTGCAGTCTCTCAATACTCTCTGCTCCCCTTCTCATCTCTCTGTCTCCTTATTAGTCCCATGGCAATGCACTGGGAGTGTAATTATCAGTATGGCTCATTGGGGCCATTATGAATAACACTGCTATGAACCTAGTAGGCTGCTATGTTCTTACTGGAACCTCGCAGAATAAGCCACAGAATAATGAAGTCATCGAACTAAGCAATATCTTAGAGGCCTCCGCGTCTTCTGTTCCATCCCCTCTGGGTTTATGTCCCTCAAGTGATGAATATCAGCCCT